CCAGTCGGGCCTTGTACTTATCAATAGAGCCATCTGGACGATGCTTGGTCTTGAAAATCCATTTACTCCCAACAATGTTGACTCCGAGCGGATGAGGCACAAGAACCCAAGTCTTGTTGTGATGAAGGGCGGCTAGCTCATAAATCATTGTTGTACGCCAGGAGGTCTCACAGAGAGCATCACGATGAGAGACAGGCACCGCTTGAAATGCGCGCCAGCGAGGAACATATCGGACGGTCCCATCAGTCGGTACAAGTGCACGCCGAGTGTGATCGCGGGTACGTGTGACCATGGTGTGACCAGGAGCAGCTGGAGGCGTCACAGTCGAGGGGACAGGGATGCCCTCGGCAGAAGGCGACGCGAGCTAAGCAGTCGGCGACGACGAAGTAGCATCATCCTGCATCGAGGGAGAAGGTGAGTCGGGTGCGGCGTCCTCGTCGCGGTGAAGGAGCCGCTGATGGGCCAGGCGAGGCAGCCGTTGGGGCCGCCTATGGGCCGGGCGAGGCAGCCGCTGGGGCCGCCAATGGGCCGGGCGAGGCCACCAATGGGTTGGGCGAAGGAGCAGCTAACCATGCGGGGGACGTGCATGTCCCATGCACGTCGATCACCGGGGAGAGCGGCGCGTCGGCCACATGTGGATGCGAAGCGATAGACGGTTCGGGCATGGCCGGGCGGAAGGCGTGCATGCGCCATGCACGTCGGGTGCCGGGGATGGAGGCACGTCAGCCACGGTGTCCTGCACAGAAGTAGCATGGCCTGGAATAGGCGAGTCAGTAGTCAAATAGGACAGGTCATATTTGCACATATGGTCATCCGTAGTCGGTTCATCGAAAGGAAAAGAGAGAACATCAGCCAAGTAGGAGACATCTACGGTGACCCCAGGGGTGGCATAGGGAAAAATAGACTCGTCGAAAACAACATCACGAGAGATGTATATACGTCTCGTGGAACGATCGAGACACGTGTATCCCTTATGCATCGGACTATAGCCGAGGAACACGCACATGGTGGAACGAAAAGCAAGTTTGTGTGCATCATATTTGCGCAAACTAAGCCAGCAAGCACACCAAAAAGTGCGCAGGAAGTTGTAATTGGGTTGCACCTTAAGGAGACAATACATGGGTGTATCTTGTTGAAGGACATGTGTAGGCATGCGGTTAATGAGGTAGCACGCAGCGAGGAATGCTTCATCCCTAAAACGTAATGGGAGAGAAGAATGAGCCAGCAAGGCAAGACCTATTTCTACAAGATGACGATGTTTGCGTTCGGCAACTCTGTTTTGCTGCAAGGTGTGCGGGCAAGACACGTGATGGGAGATCCCAGTGCGTTGAAAATAGCGATGCAATTTGTGGTACTCGCCACCCCAGTCCGACCGAGCGGCTATGATTTTAGTGTGGAGAAGACGCTCAACATGAGCCTGAAAAGTATAAAACACTTGCTCAACGTCAGACTTGTGCTTAAGGAGATATATCCAACAGAAGCGAGAATAATCATCGACAAAGCTCACATAATACTTATAACCTCCAGAAGAGGCAATAGCAGGCCCCCATACATCAGAATGAATTAACTCAAGAGGCATAGTGGAAACATGATGAGATAAATTATATGGCAATTTTCGACTCTTAGCACGCTGACAAGCATCACACACTGAAGTCTGACGTTCAGAAGAACACACTAGATCATTACTCTTAACAATGTTTTGAACAATATTATTGGAGGGATGACCGAGACGCTGATGCCACTGGGACGGAGTGGTCTTGACGCTGAGAGACGCTTGGCGGGTGTAGGAGGACGACGCGGGACTAAACAGGATGGGGTAGAGTCCACCATGATTTCTACCGTGAAGAAGAATTTTTTCGTGGTTGTATCCTTAACAAGGAAAAAGAAATGATGAAATTCCACAAAAACATCATTGTCAAGGACAAGTCGGTAAACAGAAAGGAGATGTTGATGAATATGTGGAAGACGAAGAATATTTCATAAACGAAGAGATGAACCGGGTATAGTTGAATGACCAATATGCGAAATAGACAAACCTGCACCATTTGCCACTTGCACTTGATCCTTCCCGCCAGAGCGCTCATGGAAGTCTAGACGGTCAAGATCACTCGTTAGGTGGTCTGTCACACCGGTGTCCAGGATCCAGTGCGGCGGGTCATGAGCGGAGGACGAGGTGGAGGCGGAGTTGGCGGCGTGGTTGTCAGTATCATAGTGGCTGCAACAATCGCCTGCCTCGTGCCCCCAGTTTTTGCAAATCTGGCAGCGGGGACGCCATCGTCGATTGCGACCGCCCCCGTTGCCGCCTCCATCACAGCCATTGCCGCCGCTATTGCCGCTGTTGGGGCCAGGGGCACCTCCCTGGCCGGGGCCGTGGCCACCCGATCCGGGCGGGAGGGAGGCGCCAGAAGGACAGCCGCCACTTGGGCGGCCCGAGTCATGCGCATGACCGGAGTTGATGGTGTAGACCGGCCGGGACGTGGAGTTGGTGGAGGACTGCCAATCCTCAAGCTCCGATTGCTGCTGCTGTAGGGCCTCGTAGTGAAGGACACTCGAGTAAAACGCAGGAAACGTGATAGGCACGCCCACGAAGCTCATCGAAGCAGCAATAGGGTTAAGCACCGAGCCGAGCCCGGTCAGCATGTAGTCGATGATCTCATCATCGCGAAGAGGAGAGCCGGCAGCGGCCATCGAGTCGGCGAGGGCCTTCACCTTCTGCATGTACTCGTTGGCGGGTTTGTCTCCTTTCCTCAGCGTCTGGATCTGGCGCCAGAGATTACGCACGCCGGTGCTGTTCTCGGTGGCGGACATGGTGTGCACGGCCGCCCAAGCTGCGGCAGCCGACCTGCAGCCAATCAGCTGCGCGGAGATCTCGACGTTCATCGAACCAAGGAGATGCCCGAGGACTTTCTGATCAAGAGTCCACCACTTCTCGTACTCGGGATTGGACACGGTGTGAGCAGCGTCACCGGTGCCTGTCGTCATGGTCGGTGTCGGCGCCCTGGCCGAACCATCGAGGAAACCGTGGAGGCGAACTTCGGCGAAGTTGGGGAGGGCGAGAGCCCTCCATAGCATGAAATTGTTGCGGTCCAGAAAGACCGCGATGGGCGGAAGGACGGGGACGGGAGCCGACGCCGTGGGTGGAGACAGTGAGGGTGAGCAAGGAGGAGGTGGTGGACGTCGCGGCCGGAGAGGTGGACTTCGCGGCGGCTGCGAAAAAGCATTGCGGCGGCGGCGGCGGAGGGAGGAGGGGGCGGTGGCTAGGGTAGGGTTGGTTCTAATACCAAGTTTGAGAATAGGGTTTAGGGTTTTCCATGGGGCATGGCCTCTCCACGTCTCTCTATATATAATGATTAGCACATAGAATTACATAGGTACAGAATACGTGTACGTGACACGCTAGACCTATTTTAACAGACAACACCCATTCTCCCATCGTAACTGAAGCCGGACACGTGGCAGCTCCCGCTGGAAGAAGGAGAAGACAGGATTCAGTATAAATAGGGGACGGCTACTACCTGGGAACGGGTCGACTCACATTCACAACAAAGAACACACATTATTACTCTCCACACAGCAATATCATTCTACAACAGGAGTAAGGTATCACACCTACATGGTGGCCTGAACCTGGGTAGCTCCGGTGTGCTCTGTTATCCCTTTCTATCATTCCCCACGACCGATGACTTTGAAAGCACGACGCGTTCAGGCCCTGACCGAACTCTCAAAGGGTTGTAACTAACAACCTAATGTCAGGTTCTTAGACACTGACACGGACACCTCCTCACTGAGCTCAGTTATCCGGTCATGAAATATTGCGAAAAAGTTGAGGATAACACAAAGTCTGAAGAAACAACCACAACAACGCACAAGGGAACGAAGCGTAGCCTGAATTCTCGGAGAGAACATGTGGTAGTTATGTTAGCAGAGATATAAATAAGGTTAGCCACCAGTAGTCTTGCTATAATTACTACTCCCTTCGTCTCAAAATAAGTGTCTTAACTTTATACTAGCTCTAGTATAAATTTATACTATGCTCAAGACACTTATTTTGGAATGGAGGGAGTATGTTTTTCTTGCGGTTTGCCAACCATTTGAAATCTTGCGAATCAAAAAAGCCTCGTATACCAAGGAGAGATGCTGTCGTTTGCTAGCCGGGCCAAGCCAAGTATGTCGATTCTCAAGCTCAACCTGCGGACACCTACAAAGCCAAAGCTGGGCCATTCATATGCCCACCGGCCAGAATACGTTACGTACGGTACGGGTTCCATTTCCATCTCAAGGGGGCCTATCTCAACGGACTCGTCCAGTCATCCTCCTCCGGCTCTTCCCCACCCTGCTCTTCTGATCCTGTTGCAGTGCCAATCCAGCCAGTTCGCAGCCGTCACGAAACAGAGCAGGATGGCTTCCTTAATGGCAGAAAGCAACGTCGTTTGTCCGCCCAACGTGTGGATGTCGTGCACACAAAATACCATGACGGAAATGGCGAAACATGCTCCAGTGGCTCTAGGCTGCTGCGAGCTGATAAAGTCGTTTTTGGATCTACTCCACACTGTCAGCATGAACACCATCACTGTCGACGTAGCTAGTATGGCAAACCAGCAATGGAAGTATGGAACAGTGTATATATAATGGCGAAATACGCAACCTAATACATCTTCTATATATTTTTTTGCGGTGAAATACGCAGCTCACCAATACATCTTCTGCAGTTACAACTTACAAGCCAGTCTGTACAAATTCATCATGGTTTCATGATACATGCACACGCAGCTACGTACAACAATACAAGCAACCCCGCACATACTTTGATTGGGTCGTTACAGTACCTATTTACCATCTACAGTACACATCTATATGTACACACACAATCTTAATTAACTTCAGATTATTTATCTACGAGTAGCTAGTGTAGTCGATCGGATAAGCCATGGGTGTGACAGGAACGTACGGGTGCTTATAGCGTAGCGAACCAGACACTAACCATACGGCAAGCTAGCGAGCTAGACAGGGTAGGACGCGAGCTGGGCGAGGCCGCAGACGCCCTCGCCGCGCACGCCGCGGCGGATCCTGACGTAGCCGCCCTCGCCCCACGACCCGCCCCACGAGTTCTTCATGATCCAGTACTTGGTGCCGTCGCCCGCCGTGCCGTACCCGACCGCCGTGATGGCGTGGTTGAGCTCCGTGCCGCAGCCGGACCCGCCCAGCACGCCGCTGTCGTAGAACCGGAACACGCTGTCGCCGCCGTTGATGGCCACGGACACGGGCTGGTGCGCCACGGCCGCCATCAGCGCGGCCTCGTTGTTGGCCGGCACGTCCTCGTACCCCCGGATGGACGCGGCCGAGGCCGAGCGGCGGCACGACCCGTCCGTGCCGCGGTACGGGTAGGACGACTCCGTGGTGAGGCCGCCGCGGCGGACCATGTACTCGAAGGCGTTGTCCATGAGGCCGCCGGCGCAGCCCTCGTCGTCGCCGTTCACGTCGCAGTCCACCAGCTGCTGCTCCGACAGTGACATAAGCCGCCCCGTGCGGATCTTGGTCAGCCCTTCCACCGCCGCCACCGCCGAGAACGCCCAGCAGCAGCCTGCATATGCATGTCACCCAAGTTATTTGATTAAATGATGAAACAGAGGCAATTAAGCTTAGGACATGTCCAAAATGGAAAATTAAGAATGATACTCCAATCATTGAAGTAAAGTGAACGCTGACTCCTCTTGCTGTCTGGGTTGACCGAAAAGTGCACGCATGACTTGTTTGTAGACTCTGGTCATCCCGGTACAATCTCACGTCAATTTTTTACTTTTCCTACGCGCGTGTTGCCACTTGCAAGTTCTTTTTTAACATTTTTAGAAGTCTAAAAAAGCTTGATCCAGGTGGTAAATGTTCCGGTGCTTGCAATGTTCTGCAGCTTAATTTGTATGCATCTGCAGTAGCGTGCGTGCCAGTGTTGTCGTGTTGATTGTACGTACCGCAAGAGCCTTGGTCCTTGACGCCGGTGACGGCGCCCATGGCCCTCCAGTCCATGCTCCCCGCTGCGTCGGCCAGGCTGAAGTTCTCGTACCTGAACCCCCCAGCGCCTCTCCCGGCGCCAGCCACGGCCGCCGCCGGGCGCTGGAGGCCGGTCCTCGCGGCGCGGAACTCCTCGACGGTGAGGTCGGCGAACCTGTTGGTGGCCAGCCGGTGGCTGCTCTCCTCCGCGGCGTTAAACGAGTCGATGAACTTGGCGTTGGCGCGGAATACCTCCAGCCGCCGCGCCTTCTCCTCCTCGTCCGCGTACGTGCGCCCGTGCTCCGCCATCCACTTCTCGTGCCTCGACACCATGGCAGCTTCGACGGCGATGGCGTCGTTGCCGGCGAGCTCCCGTACCGCGAGCGCACGGGGAGCGGCGACGGCGCAGCTCACGACGAGGAGTGCGAAGATGAACGTGGGCAGAGACATGGCTAGCTGTGGCCTGTGGGAATGTGCTACTAGAGCTCAGGGTGTGTGGTAAGGCTACGTGTTGCTTAAGCTTCTTGCTTGCCCAAATGCTGCAGGGATGGCATGGGTTTATATAGAAGGAAAATTAGGAATGGTTACTCTCATTTTCAAGTGCATATTAAGAAAATGTACACGACCACACTAACACCACACTCACGACGTCACTCACTCCATACACGTCCTCTCACGCTCTATGCAAGTATATGCATGCACGCTACTGCCTTCCTTTACAAATTGTAAGTTGTACGTATGACGTATTTTGAATGTGAGTTTTGACCCTATGTGTAAGTGATGATTACGAAATACCCCCTCCGTTAACAAATACTTATAAGATGTTTTAGACACTTCAATATGGATTTATATATGAACTGAAATAAATGAAGAAATACACTAAAACATCTTTATGTACATCTGACCATGTTAGAACATCTTATGTTATGAACAGAGAGAGTAGCAAAAAAAAGAAAGTGTTCTTAAAAAAGAATCCTTGGAGTTCTTAAAGAAGAATCCTCGCAAAAAAAACATGTAAATTATTTTATTAGTTATCGATCAAAGCTTTACGGCCTGCATATTGCAATGGAATGAGTGCGAGGTAATTAGGACTCTGGTCCTTCGCAAGTCACTAGCATCACACTCAGGCACACACGCATGCACAACTCTTTGCACATGCATGCTAAAAGTATGTTTGATTCGCGACCACACTTGAGCAGACTCTGCGGACTATGTCTCCAACTGGTTTTGCAGGTGTTTGTAATCACATGTTTTGCTTGGCTTGGCAAAAAAAAATCAATTGAACAAATTTGTCACGAACATATGTATTAATGAAGCCCATAGACCTCAGTCTACTAGTTAAGAAGAAGAGAATAGCCTGCAAGCACTAAAAACAAAAGAAAATAGCCTGCAAGCACTAAAAACAAAAGAGAATAGCCTGCACAATTAACGGAAATCAGGCAAGATTACACGTCCACAAACGATCTTCATTTTCGTCTTATAATGAAATCGCAGCTCTCCTGCGTTTCCTCAAACAAACGATCTTCACGGGACATGAGAGCACACATGGCACCACCGGTTTACCTGACTACCTTGCAAGGTGTGTACACGCGTTAATGAGAAGAAATGGTGTGTCACCATCTTGTCACCAGTCCTTTTTTTCCGAAAAGGAAGTTGGAATCCCGTCATCTGCATCAATTGAGAGAATTGCAGAAAACCACCACGTTGACGCATTGGTTTGCAGAAAACACCGTTATACGAATTTCTGTCAGAAATCACTAATTCTCGACCTAATCATTTGCAGAAAACACTAACCCATCGTTTTGAGCATTTTAATCTTGATTATGACATGTGGGTCCCGATTTTGATGACGTGGCGTAACGGGTGCGAACTGACGACGTTAAGGGTGACTCTAGCCGTCAATCTCGCGCCGCCCTTCCTACTCTCGGTCCTGGAGCAAGTGGATGCGCCGCCGTCGCACATGGCCGCTGCGCCCTCCTCCTTCCTCCGCCGGCGAGGCGCGGAGGCGCTCCAGGGTCAGCCGAGGTCCGGCCCCGCCACGGGAGGCACCTGCCGCTCGGGCTCGCCGTACCCATCCCGTGCCACCCTTCCTGCTCCCGGTCCTGGAGCAGATGGACGTGCCGCCACTGCACAAGGTCGCTGGCCTTCCTTCGTCGGCGTGGCGCGAGGCGCTCCAGGGTCGGCTGAGGTCCGGCCCCACCGCAGGAGGCGCCTATCGCTCGGGCTCGGTGTCCCATCCCGCACCGCCCTTCCCACTCCCTGGTCCTTGAGCACAGTGGCGGAGACAGGCCTGGGGCAGCTGGGGCTATAGCCCCAGGCCTACTAACAAATTCCCTTGTAATTCCTTTAGAGAAAGCATAGAAAATCATAGAAGTTTTTCACTCACATAGCTTAGCCCCAGGCGCAATCGGCTTCTAGCTCCGCCACTGCTTGAGTTGATGGACGCGCCGCTGCGCGGGGCTGCCATGCCCTCCGCCTTCCTTCACGGGCGAGCACGGAGGCGCTCCGAGGGTCGGCCGAGATCCGGCCCCACCACGGGAGGCGAGGCGCATCTGGGGACCGCTCGGGCTCTGGCTCGGGCGCTCGGCTGCCTCTCCCGATGATGAGGCCCCGACGCGACAAGTAGCTTCGAGCTCCAGATCCGGCCTCAGATCGCTGCCGAAGAGCTCGCCCAGACCGAGGCCGGCAGTTCGGCACCGTCCGCCCCTGCAACAAGCTGCCTACCTCCAACTGCGTCGTCGAGTCCATGCCCACCGTACCACCAGCCACTAGAGATGCCCACCGTCAAACGTCGTCAGTTCTCATCCGTTACGACACGTCATCAAAATCGGGACCCAGATGTCATAATTGAGGTTAAAATGCTCAAAGCGACGGGTCAGTGTTTTCTGCAAAAGATTAGGCCGAAAATTAGTAGTTTTTGGCGCAAATTCGTAGAACGGTGTTTTTTGCAAACCTATGCATCAATGTGGTGGTTTTCTGCAATTCTTCCGGTAGTCATGCTTGCGAATCCTCGACCCTAGGCCAGGGTGGCACAAGCAGATGAGTGGGATGTAAGCCCACCAAAGACATCACCATGGCCGTCAGCAGGCCGGCCATGCCGTGGTGTGGAAGTAGCCACTACCACCTCATACCGGCGTGAACCGACCTGCAGGATCCACCATAACCCCGAGGTCATTTCCCCAACATCCTTCATCTGAAAAGAGGAGCCTTCAATGCATCCTTGTTCCATGACGTATTGGGAGCCTACCTATCGATGACCATCAAGCTTGTACACGCCGTCGCCAGACACCTGTCGCACACACGATTTACGTTGCTGCCACGACACCAACCTGCGTGATCCAACAAGCCACTCGCAGACACCGTGCAATGTCGTCCGAGCGTCGAGCATTGTCATCCTTCTGCCTAGGGCCACCATCCTGGCATAAAGGGGTTCTCGTTGTTGAACGCCGAGGGAGCTCGGCTCCACCTCGACGCGGGTACTTTGCCGTCCCAGCATGAACTCGACCCCTTCTAATAACCAGTGATGTGGCAATGAGAAGGGAGTTGACAATGCATCGACAGCCGCTCCCGCCGTTGCACTTGAGGAGGAGGAGGAGGGAGCTCCACCACCACATGCCCCTTTCCTCTACCACCCTACAACCACCAAAGAGGTGAGGAGGTGACGGTCGACACACTGGAACCGCCACTGCCGCCGCCGTAGATCTTGATAAGAAGGAGGAGGGAGCTCCACCACCACGGGCTCTGCTTCCTGTCCCCTTTCCTACAACCACCGAAGTGGTGAGGTGAAGGGAGAGGCCGGTGCATTAGCAACCACTGCCTGAACTCTCGATCGGGAAGGGAAGTGCGATTCGCCCTTCCGCGGATTTAGGATCGAGAGTTCTTTTTGTTTCTTCATCACTCCTCCTTGAGCCAGAGGCTTCGACTTTACCATAAAAGACGACGAAATCCCGTCACTCACCCAAGCAAGAACACAACTCCGATCCCCGTGAGCTACGAGAGGGGAATATGCAGGTTCATGCGAAGAGGAACATCATAGTTAGATCACCTATTGTCTACCTCTATCACTACTAGGGCGGAGTTTCGGCTAGGCCAACCTGGGCCGCCGCCCCCCAGCCCATAACAAAAACTGCAAATATCCCTTAGTATTTGGCCCATTTTTAGTAGAAAAACCAACCCATAGCCAATTATCTTGCCCCCAGCCCATTGCCCCCCCCCCTAAGAAATGGGCCCAAGCTCCTCCACCATTAACTGCGTAGAGGACATGATGAAAGCACCGACTTCAAAGCAACAAAATAGTGCATGAACTTCTACCAGACACACCAAAGAGACGGCTACTAAACATTTTTGTCCTGCATGCCGCCAACCACGTGGACTAGCCAACATCTGCTCTTACTACAGTATACTAATACCACTAACTATTACAAAAATTTAGATGGGACAAACCATGGGAGGAGGGGGTCTAGCCCCTGGTCACTTTCCTTTCCTGGTGGAGGCTGGAAGGGGACTATTTGAGAGAAAAGAAGTGTGGTCGCCCCCCTTCGCTCCAGTGGGCGACGATCAGGCGAAACCCTAGCTCCACCACCCCTTCCCTCCCTTCCCTCATCATCGTCGGGGGGGGAGGCTGCTGGGAAAAGCCCGGGCAGCGGCGGCAGCGGCGAGGAACTTCTTCCTCCTCGCTGGGGATCGGCAACACTGGCGGTGATCGCTGTCGGGGACGCGGCGCTAGCATGGGGCATTGCGGCAGCGTCGCGCATGTTCAGGCGAGCGGTGGGACTGCATAGGGGCTTTGGGGGTGTGGTGGCACGCGTGCTGGCATCCTCGTCGCCGCGGTTCTGGGCTAGGGTGCAGGAAGCGGCCGACCCTCGTTGACGATGGATGAAGGGATGGGATGTGGTGCTGGCTTCGCTAGATAGTGCCATGCGTCCGGATGCTGTCGTGCCTCGCCTGGGCGTCTGGTGTCCTGGGAAGGCCTCACCCAGATATGGAATTGCCAGATCTAGCAAGTGGGGTGGCAGCGGTCGGCAGCGTCCGGCCGAGTGGGGATGGCCATCGGGGAACTTGTCTCTGTGTGTGGATGTCATTTCATGCATCGCGTCGGGTCTTCTTTGTTCCCTCTGTCCATGCCAAGGAAGGGCGACGTGGTTGGTGTTAGTTAGGAACTAGAGAGGGACTCGAGAGAGTTTTGTGTTGCGTACTTGCTTGCAGCATTTTCTGTCTTTCTTCTTATTAACAGCAACCAAAGCAATGGAAACAACGAAAGGAGGGGATCATGCCTGAGCTATCCAGCCGTGCCATCCCACGACCAACTCACCACGCCCTCGATGCCACCATGCACGTTTGATTCGTGCCATCCCACGAAACGCGCATGGATACCTAAACTACCTATCTGCTACTGAAAGTTTGGTCAAGGCACAAACAGGCTCATGCACTTGCCGTTTTATTTGCTAAGC